GAATTCATAAAATGTAATATAAAAATAAAATTAGATTACAAAAATATATAATTATAATAACGCAACATTCTCCCTCTTCTGATAATTTCATCGGAGAAGTCATAGAGAGTTTGTTGTTCTAGAAGTTTTTCCCGTTTCGATTGTATTCGGTTTCTTCTTGGTTAGCGCATAAGTCTCAAATGTTCTCGTAGGTTTGATGAAATCGTTGAACGTTATCGTTAGCTTGATATCCTTCACATTTCTCAAATTTCATAATTAATCCAGTCGAATATTGGAATTTGGAATAAATCGGAATATATAATTTGGAATAGTTGATCAAATCAAATATATGAATAATATGCACGAATAAAATTTTGAATTTCGGAACAATAAAATATGTAATAAGGAATGATAATTTATGTAATAAGGAATAAAATTTTAATCCAGAATAAGGAATGATAAATTATAATAATTATTATATTATTTTTAAGTTAATCATAGCGTTTTATACTTTTAGCGTTTTATGCGTTTTATATTTTTAGCGTTTTATATTTTTTGCGTTTTACATTTTTTAGCATTTCATATTTTATAAGCGTTTAATTTTTCGTGTTTTAGTGTTTAATTAATTTTTGTTTATTTTCTATCTCCCAGGTTAAAATATGCAAATAATATATTATTCACATTTCCCTCTCTTTAAATAAAATTTTAAATTTCACACCCTAATTTTAATTCAAAAAAAAAAATTCTTCATAAGATAGTTTTGAAAATTCACCACATAATTTAAATATATTTTTCTAAAATGAATGTTTTTTTACATAACTTTTTGTCTTCAAAGCTTTTAATTTCAAAAACTTTTTATCATATTAAGTATTACTTATAAGGGTTATTTGAATCAATCATGTGATTTAAAAATTACATTTTAACATATTTAAAATTAAGTTTTATCTTCTTGTTTAGGATTTTTAATGGTTTATTTTTAATTATATTTAAGAATTCATCTTTAGGTTTTGTTAATTAACAACAATTCGTCATCATTCAAGAAATCAAAAAATATCAATATTATCCATTATGATTTTACATTTTAGTAATTTTAAAAATTTATAACATGCCTTTATCCTGGCATAAAATTTTAATTTTTAATAACTTTTCTTCTTACGTGGATTAGAATAATAAGTAATCATCATTGGTCTCACAAAATAGAATTCATAACCTATCGTTCAACTTCCATATCAGTTCTTCCTAGGTTGTCACATTAGGTTAGGTGCTGGCTATTATATTCCAGTCCAACATCCAGAGCCGGGACACCATAAAGAAAGAAGCTTTTTGCATGAAAGAACGTACTAAGGTTTGATTCTTGGTCATCTCAGTAGTTTAGGTAGTCACAATAGATAAGGTAGTCATAACATCACAATAGATAAGGTAGTCATAATAGGTAGTCATCTCCATAGGTTAAGCAATCAACACAATAGATAGTCATATAAATAGAGTCATCTCAATGGATTAAGCAATCATCACAATAGGTAGTCATATAAATAGAGTCATCTCAATGGATTAAACAATCGTCACAATAGGTAGTCATAGAGTCATCTCAATGGATTAAGCAATCGTCATAGATTAGATGGTCATCTCAGCAGATTAGGTAGTCATCTTTTTCTAGTCCACCACCCAAAGGGCACCATGCAAAGAATATGGGTGGTGACGATATGGCGCGAGGTTCGAGTCAGTAAAAATATATTTTATTAACTTTATTGACTAATTTCTTTTTCTTTTCTTGAAGTATTTATACGTTTTTATAAAATATAAATTAGAATATAAACAAATATAAAAAATAAAATAATATAAAAAAAGTAAAGTTAAACCGAAAGTTATATAAATAAGGTTACGCAAAATAATAAGTAATATAAGTTGAATTACAAAAATAAAAAGTTAAGTTGAAAAGATAAATTTGAATTCATAAAATGTAATATAAAAATAAAATTAGATTACAAAAATATATAATTATAATAACGCAACACGAATCATAAAAAATAGCGAGAATTACAATCTCCTCAAACAAGACATCAATGTCTTTCGGTATTTTTAATATATTTATTAAATTATAAAAACCATAAATTGATAGTTTTTGTTCCAAGGTCATAATATTTACACATTTGTAAATAGAGTTATTAAAATCAAATTTTGATTGTAATTATTCTAAAATTGTCTTAATAAAAATATCTGCTTCATATAGAAATAAATTAATTAGAGTATTATTTGAACATTTTAATATAATATTTTTAGCAATAGCGCCATAAAATTTATTATTAATTTTTAACTGTAGAGATGAACAAAGCTGTAGCATGATTTTGTGAATCTTTTTTAATAAAGAATATTCTGATTGCAACTGAATATTAACAGCATGAAGTAGATTTCCTACATGTGAAACGAATCCCAAATCAAAATTTTAGGACAGCTTTTAAAACCTCTATTTAAGAAGTATTTTGTAAAATTTTAAAATTCAATATATGGCAGGTATTAATGATAACCACCTGATAGGTGTATATCGCAACAACTCACACCATTCCAAGTCAGACCACTTCACCAACTCTTTTAATTCATTAACTCTTTTAGTTGATGAACAAAATTCGTTAAAACATTTCATCACAATTATTTCGACATCCAAAGATAGTACATCCATTGCCTTCTTGCAAGAATTATGTAGTATATGGCATATACAGCCAATTAGTATTAATTCATTGCTGACCAAATTCGGTAACTTTGGGTTTTGCCAAAATTTACAGAGGCATTATCAACGCAGAAAGCTGACATGTAAATCATTGATAACCTTGAATCAGCTATATTTACCATTATGTGGCTAGCTACATTATTGGATTTTTCACTATCAGAGGAGAAAATTTTAACAGTTTTATTGAAATGTTCTTATTCTTGTTGAAATAGCAAAGGATCGAGGGAAATGTTTTAATATTTCCCTTGATGCATCTGTTAGAATTGCATATAGATGCCCATCTTTCAAATCGTTTAGAATTGACCTCTAGGATTCAGATATTAAAACATTTGTGATAGCCTTGCACATTTTTGTTCTGCCACAAGTAAGGTTTGCACTTATATTGGAGTTGTTATATATCATGAGAAAAAGATTCGACGCACATTGTGTGATATAGCTCTGTGAATGTTGAACTACATGATAGATGTATACGATTTCCGAAAATGTAGTTGCATCTGTATTATTTATTATTTTTGTTTTGAGAATAATTTTGCAATCGATGTCGATATACTCCCCTATACTGACTTATATGAATGAAAGATTTATTATTGGATAAAAATAAAACAGGATAGAAAGAAATTTACAAACTATACATGTTTTTCGAATAAATATTTAAAATTTTTTTAAAAATATAAAAATAATCAATTAATCTCTCTCAAAATTATTATTTATATATTAAAAACGTTAAAATACTTTTTAAAAAAAATTTCGGGAGAAATTAAAAAATTACGGTAGATTTTTGCGGGAGATTTTGCGGTAGTTTTGCGGGATAGATATGTCTGCGCGTAAACTAAAAAATTACGGGAGTCTCTCGCTGATGGGGGGAGACATGGAAACCCTGATTGGGATTTCTATAATGATACACCGGGCCGTAAAATACGGGCCGAAAATTTTTCAAAAAAATATCCTACCCGAGCTGTGCAAATGGTAACTCTGCAAGTCTCTGACGTATACAGTGTAACTTGACTAATTTAGGCTTTTCATAACTCTAGCATAATTTTCCCAAATCTTTTAGTGTCAATAAAATCCAGTCTTAAAAAATTTGGCAACTTGTAACAGGAATCTTGGTTAACCATGCCCAAATTAAACAGGTTTAGCTGTTATATAAATGTTAATGATGGGATAATTAAATTGGCTAATGTAATATAGAATTTGATGTTAATATTTATCTCATTTTCAGAATGGAAAACTTTGAGACCACCAGGTAGCGGAGATTCCCTCAGATTTTAATATGAAAAAATTTCCCAAAGCTAAATATACCTACCAGAAACGGTTAATGGTCATTGCCATGCCCGTTTCCAAAAGCAGGATCCTATTGCCTTAAAAAACTGCTCTAAGGAATGTAAATATTTCCACAAGAAGGGACGATGGATCTGTGAGAGTTTTCGTTGGAGGAAAAATAATTTATTTGCCCTCTGGAACAAATGAATGGCGAATAAGGCGGATTTGAAATCGATTTTGCAAGCGATCTTAACCTTGACAGATTTTCGACATCAGGGGGATTGATGATTAGTATATCGCGATTTATATTTCTACTTTTGATAATTTCATTTAATTATTTATTATAATCAGTATGCATAATAAATGATAAAATATGAAATTTTGATTACTAGTTAAGGGTTTGCAAATTTCAATTTAAATATAAAATATATTAAAAGAAAACCCGGTGAGGGTCTGCAAAATAGAGAGTATAAGGGGCGAATTTAATATTAATAATTTGTTAAATTTAATGTTCATGACCTTCGATATCGGAGTAAATTTCAGATCCATATATTAAAATAAGGAAAAGGAATATTCCCATCAAATTTTTAAGCAATATGCCACTGATTATTTTGATAATTTTTTAAGCAAATTTAAAATGGATTTTGTTGCTAAATGGCTTATGCAGGATCCTCAGCGATTTATACATTGTATAATAATTTAAAGAAAAGTTATTAACGATATAAATATACATTTAATTTATAAAAATAAATACATAGTTATAAATTTTAGGGCTTTTCTGAATAAAATATTTTATTGAAACCTAGAAGCCTTGAGGGGATCGTTCTAATTTACCCAGTCTAGATATGGTCTATTAGTGATTATATATTTTAAGTATTTTATCTTAAATAATAGCTTGAGTTATTTTATAAATAATAAATACATCAGGTTCAACCTGCCTTGAAATATTTAATGTTTATATAAAAAAAAAGGTTAATAATTAATTTATAAAATAATTGACACATTTATTTCCAATAAGATATTTTTCATTTTTAAAATTAAATAAAACAAGTTGATTTGGGACTTTAAATTTGCAAAATAAAAATTCCATGCAATCCTTTTTATGAAATAATATCCTTTTATTTTCTATTGCTAATATAAAATGAGGGAATACAAACTAGTTGTTTTAGGAAGTGGAGGTGTCGGAAAATCTGCATTGGTAAATACTAACCAGCCTTTTTTTTATACAATTTATCAATTGAAATCAGTAATATATTCACTTTTTAATATGATATATAAAATAAGACTATGACTTTTTATTTTTTTTATCTAGTATTACATAATTGATATTTATATACATTTTTATGTATATAAAACTCTTAAATTATGTTTCTATAAATATATATTTAAATTCTATAATTTAGTTATATCTTTTCATAGTGACAATATATTTGATTTACTTTTTTTTATTACCTGTATAAAATATGATATCATCTTAGACCTGTAATATATATTTCCTTATAAAAAATATATGCCTTTATTGAAAATCTGTATATTATACATAATTAAACATACAATTTTTCTAATCTTTGGAGATACTTAGTAATTTAATTATTAGTTATAATCAAAGTTTATCATCTAAATCCTTCTACAAAGAGTTGTTTAATACAAACCATTGCTATTTTTTCTTAGAAAATAGATTGGCCCACTTATTTTTCAAATTATACATCATTTTTACCTAGTTTATATTTTTTCATTTATAACTTTATAGTTTATGCAGGAATTGGCAGTAAAAATTGTTATAAATTATGACTCTAGATATTTATATATCATTCCCTGCTCTCATCCATGCTTTCAAAAAACTGATCATGGACCTTTTTCAGTTTGAGGTATGTTGATAGGGTCTGGCCTTTGCTTGATACTTGCATATTCAGATACCACTATATATTTCACTATAGTTTACAATTTTTAATATATACCACTTTCATTTTGACTTTGACATCATATAAGTCTTTAAGACTTTTTTGATAAAACATTTCTTTCAACCAATAAATATTTCTGGCCCAAATATAGTCAGACTTAGCTGGATTAGTATCAATGACCATACAAATATAATTTCTACCAATTTATCCACCTTAGAATAATAGTGAATTATATAATGATTACTAATTAAAATAGTATATAATGTCTATATAGAATAGCTAGTTCTATAAAATATTTTTAATAAATATTGGAAAAATTTTTATAAATCAAACATTTTCTGTTTTAAATAATTTTTTTCCTGATTGGAGTTGGACTTATTATTTACTCTTATTTTAAAAAAATCAGTTAACTTTGATGGGATAGGGCAAGCTCTATAATATCATAATAGATGTCAAACATCAAAGTTTTCATGTTAATCAAAAATTGTATCAGGAATTTTTTTTTTGAAAAAATAAAGAATTTGTCCCCAATATCTCCTAAAATAACTTCAGTAGGTGCTCTAAAAATGTCACTAAGTTTTTATTTTTAGCATTGTTTTTTTTTAAATTAATTTTTGAATTAAGGTTTATTTTGTCATTTTTAAAAAAAGACCTCTCAACCTTATGTCTTACTACTTATTCATGTTGGTAAGCTGACGATTTAGTGTTTTATCAGCAATCAAACTTTAAAGGGTTCGGGCAAAATAAGTAACCTGTATTCAACTGGTACAAGTTAAGGTTTATAACCTTCTAGGGTTTTCTTTATTTTCCCCCTGGCCATTGCTTTTTGATAAGAGACATTTTTTAATTACCATAGTCATCTAGTTCAATGGGGTCTGGTTCTAGCTATTTCCAATGCGATGCACTTCCTAATTCCCTCAAATTTTGCCCTATATCAAATATAATTATTCAATTTTTGAATCGATTTTCTAAAACTGATCACTCATAACGTAAGTTTTGGACTACTAAACCAGAGTAATGAAAATCTAATTTTTTCTTCTTCCAAATTTTTGATTTCAATCATGAAAGATTTTTTATTCATAAAAATCACAAAATTTTTTTATTTTAGCTAACTATAAAATTGGGTCTAACATCCTGTTTAAGCATTCTCAGAAAAAAAATAAAAAAATCATCAGATTTTTTTTATTTTGAATTTGAAAAGAATTTCAACAAATAAATATACAATTCCACGATACATAGGAAATATATAATGCTATAACTATCATAATATAAGAACTAACACGGTTAGCTTATTTTGTTTAGGCGTCTATAAAACATATAAATATCATTAATTTTTTTTGCGCATAATAAATACAATAGTTTGTGTTATTATAACAATAAAATACAATATTACGAACACTTACGAATGACAGATTTCAATTCAATTTTATACTCTTAAAGTTTAGTTAAATTAATACAAAAAGAATGATGTATATTAATTACGAAAATTTATAAAAATATTAAAGGAGAAAAAAAATACAATTCATTCGATTCGAAATATTGGGTTTCGGACAAAGAATATAATAATTCATTGTCGAATATCGGTTTAGAGGTCGAATGCTTAACATGACCAAATTACTTATGGCCGGTTTCAATCTCACCATTAATATAACGAACAGCCATGTTGACCCGGACTGGATTGGCTTGTTCTTATTTAAATATACTTTAAATTTTCACCCCTCAACTTAATTTTTTTAAAAATATTGTATAATTATTATAAATATCTTTTATAAAACTCTTTTTTTTATAAAGAGAAGAAGTTTAACAGAAATATGCATATTAATTATATTGATATCTTCTTGAATTAGTAGTAGTAAATATATCATTTCCTTACACCACAAGAAAAATGAAAAATTATGTATTTTTTTTAAAGTAATGTATAGATTTTAATAAGAATTATATAATGTGATACGATATCATTGTCCTGTTTTAAAATTATACCGGTTATGTCCTTTATTAAATAATAAATATTTAAAACGTTTTTAACATTGTCGTATTGGAAGCCATTATAAAGGTTTTATTTGTTTATAAAGTGGGTGGAATGTTTTAATGTACATAAGTATATTAAGCTATATAAAAATATGTTGTTAATATTGGTTCCATTTTCTTGTAATGTAAAAGTGCTATTATAATTAAATTTTTTTGAAAAAATTATGATTTAAATTTATTGGTAGTTCTTTCAGAAAATAGTAGTGATCTGGCTCGAAATTATTTAAAAAATATTTTGTCATACCCCGAACTAAAATTATTTTTTAAAATCAGGCTCACCTAATACCAAAGTAAATTTGGACCCCAGAGTGATCGAACCGGGCCTGGCAAATCACTAGAAAGCAGTTCCCGAAGGAAAAGAAATGATAGGCGTCCTCTAGTTGATATCGCACGATCATGTTTGCTATTATCCTGAAATTTAGCAGTTCTAAGCCTTTAACTTTGTCTATATTCTTATATTAAAATTAATATTTTTGATCTAAACCGTTAGTTCGTATCCTGGTACGTCTTATTTTTTTTATAGCGGTTGAACAAGGACACTATTGGTTTGTTTTTAAGTGCGAACATTAAATAAATATTCAAGTTTGGAAAGAATCCTCAAAGCTATTTTTCTAAGTAATTTCCAAATAGCCTTTTTGCTTTTTAGAGGAAGCTATATTATAGACCACGTAAACAGGCTACTGTACGTCCTGCCTTTCCTCAATGTAAAAGTTCGCTTTTAAAATACTTAAGCGACATTCCCCCCCTCCCCGGAATTTAATTTTTAACGAGATGGTTCATTTTATTTGCATCGTAATCCCTTAGCGCTTATTCATTACTTGTCACATATATTACGATTTATGGGTTGTTTTTCTTTCCCTAGTGAAAAAATATTTATAATCGGTCAGTCTACCACGTTACCAAATTCTTTTTTTTATCGCGATAACGGGAAGGCCCTCGTTCGACTTAAGCATGTTGTTAGCCGCCATCTCATTTTTTAAAATCAATATGTAGGATAGAACAATTTGGAAATTATTGGACGGCCCTCTTCTAAATGCAGCGAGAGAACTCAGTATTTATAATATTAATAGACATTTTTGTTAAAGTAAACATAAGTTGAATCGTGTTATCCAGCAGCTTCCTGGACAGAAGACATATTTTGCGTTTTTCTGCTGGCCAAAAATTTTTTCCTTCATAAGTTTATGAATGTTTCAGAATGCGTTGCGCACGTAAAATATCTAAAATTGTTATAAATTAAATGAAATAGTCGAACAGCCCTTTCAACACTTACACGTTCCTATAATTTAACTTCTGCTTTATTACATCGAAATTTTTCATATTATTTTTTGGAACGTATCCGGGAACATTTCTCACTCATTCTTCCTAAGAACCTTGCCGAAACGTTTCGAGAACGTTCCGTTCATGTTCCCCCGATATTATATTATTCGGATTTTTTTTGCCTACAATTTATATTTTTTTTTCTTCTATTTATTCTTCCCAAATTTTCTTTTTAAAGTATTTGCCGCTTATTTTTGTATTATATTTCGCGTCGATTTTTATTTTCCTTATGCATAATTTAGAAGGATGGAATTCGAATCCATATGGTTTTTATTTTAGCAAATCTTCCTTTTTTTCCTAAAGTAAAAGCGAATGATGAAAGAAATCAAAGAATCAAGCCAATAAATTATATTATATTAATGTTATTAACTTCTTTCCCTTTTTTTGTTGGCCACTTAACCATCTCAATACTTAAACCCCCCTCCCCCTTGATCAGCTATATATAAGTATTAATGAAAGGGTTTTTTACACTCCAAATTATCACTTTTCGACAAGCTTTTGCTACATTTTGGTTTTTTTTGGAGAAAGGTGGGTGATTAATGTTGTTAAACGGCCCGATTTTTAAAAATGGCTAACCCAATAATAACTATTCGTGCACCTGATCTCATAGACGATAGGAAGGTATTACACATCTATCAACGAAATAATGAAGCTTGCATAAAATTATCTTGGTGAAAATCTTAAGTTGAAAATTATTTGTGATCACTATTAATTTTTTTTAAATAAAATAATCTAAATTTAGTCTAATACTTTAATTTTTAGAATTTATTCGAAAAAACCTTATATTGAACGTGGTAAAAATCTAAAAATTTAACGATTTTAAAACCGTTAAAAAATTTTGGTTTGTTTATTCAGCCCATAATTTATACGATTGGTTTTATTAATAGTAATTTGCTTTTTTTTACGCCTATCTTTTAAAATCGATTAATTTCATCCTCGATTTTCTTTTCAT